CAGTGTCACAAATTTAACAAGTATCGGAAACCAGATTTGAACTTAGGTCTTGATGATTCTAGGCCCAGCAGTCTATCAATGACACCATCACCTTTCTCTTGTTGGCTTTAGGTGATTCAATAGCATGAGATCTTTGGAAGGACAAAAGCAAAGAGCATAAACTCCAGATTGCAACAAGGGTGCTGGCAGGAGACTATTACCACTAGAGTTACCACTGTCTAAATGGGAAGCGATGGAAGCCACATTAGCTGGTGAGAGAGGCTAGGCCAGCCCTGCCCTTCTAAGGTACTCATATTGAAGTCTCCTCCTCAGCACCAAAGAATCTACAACTCACTCTAACTTGAATCATGGCAACAACTCTACAGCCTTTCATTTCCAATACTCAAAGACTAGATTAGAAATCTTGAACCTGCTGCCACATGGAGAATAATTCATAATGCTTCCCATTTCAAGATCAATGGGTCACAAATTTAGAGTCGAAAGAGACCAGAGAAATCATCTAATTTCAATTTAACAGCTGAGGAAACTGAGGAAACCTGAGAGGTTATGATTTGTCCAAAACTACACAGGTTAAGACTTTGAAGCCAGGCGCTCTGAATCCAAATCAGCCAGCAACGCTTCCAAAGCCTCAAATGTTCATTACCTTTAAATTTCCACTGGAACTCTGCCCAGACCTCCTGCACTAGGAGCTCCTTAGGAATAAGGCCTCAAAAACCAAACCAAACCAAGGGGACAGTGCATGCTCTACATATAGAGGTATTTTCCAACTTTGTATCTTCTGTGACTTTGGGCTGAGAAAATGGGCATGGTGCAGAATGTGAGCTCTGATAGGCACTGGGGATCTGATCAATGTGTATTTATAGTCTGAGATGCCTGACACAATCTCCATTTTATTCTAAGGTTTTAGAGAAAATAAATTGGCTCCCCATCATTTTATCATCAGAGAACCCTTAAAAGGGGAAAGCTCTTGATCTAGATTAAATGAAATAATATTTGTAACATGCTTAGCACAATGCTGGTATGTAGTAGTCCCTATATAAATGCTTACTCCCTTCCCTTCAGCCAAGCTCCAGGTTGGGCATATTTCCCACCCTATATAAAAAAGTTCCCTTCCCTTTGCCCTCATCCACTATTGCTTTTCCCCTCCTATTTTCCCCCCTTCTCTTGCTCTGTGTACACTTCTTCCCTTGGGCCTTCTGGAATCCTGTTCTAACTTTCAAACTTCCCTTCCACTCCTCCCTCCTGCATTTCTCCATATTCTTATATACATGACAACTTGGATCTCTTGAGGAGACATCATTCTTATCCAAACTCATCTTGTAGTAACTGTCCCTCCTTTCATGACTCCTACACATTGGGTCAGGAAGAATAATAGATAGAGACTTTGATGCTTATCACTCTTTCTAGTTTCTCCAACTGCCACCACTACCATGGAACAATTTCTCTTTAAAATTCATTATAGCTATCTATGTCATTGCATTCAGTTCTTGTTAGAGGCATCTGCCAACCCTGAGAGAGGACAGTCTTACACATTTCTTAAGACATTCAGTAATTGGGTCTCAGTTAGTTCATCAGTGGAAGTTAAGATATCAACATAATTTGGAATATATTACTTATCTGTTGACATATTATATATCCCAGTAGAACATGCATGTCTTGAGGGCAGGGGATTGTTTTTCATCTTTGTCTTTGTATTCTCAAGACAAGGCACAGAACCTTGCACAATAGTAGGTAATTAGTGAATGCTTGTTAATTTAATCTAGATAACCTAGATAGCAGGAATCGGAAACCAAACCAAGGAAATCCAGATATGAAAGAGCACAGTTTGACAATAATTGGGTTAAAGTATTTGATTCAAGTTTTTCTAGAGAGCAGGAATAGATAAGAAAACAAAATCTAACAATTTGATGCATAAAAAAAAAGATTTAAAACAAACATATAGAGAGTCAGAATGAGAGGAAGAATAAGAGATACTTCAGGAAAGTGTTTTAAAAAAGCAAAAGTTATAATCAGGATCTTGAATAAAGCAACAATAAAAAAATTGATAACGTCAAAAAAGATAAACGTGAAAATTACATTATGCTCGAAGGCAACATAAACAATGAAAAATTTAACTGTACATACACCAAGTGATGCAGCAGTTAATTTCATAAAATCTAGGTAGTTAAAAAAACGTATACGGTTACTAACCCAAAAAATAAATAGCAGACTTTAATAGTCCTATCTCAGAGTTGGGTAAACCCAAAAGAAAGACAAGAGGAGGAAAATTTAGAATTGAACATATTGTTGGAAATAATTGCAATAGTCTAGATGAGAATCTTAATAAATACACATTTTTCAGCATTTTATTGCACTGTTGCAAAAACTAATTCTGTGCTAAAGCATGAAGGCATCAAAAACAAATGTTAAATGGCAAATATGATAAATATTGTATAAATCATAAAATAACATTAACAAAAATTAAATAAAATGTGAGGAAAAGACACAGATCTAAATGGTGACTAAATGATGATTTCCTGAATAATGGGTAAGTTGAGGAAAATATCATAGAAATAATAAACAATTGTATCAGAGATAATGATGAGAGTAAAAAAAAAAAAAAGTAAAAAATTACCAAATTTTGGGAGACATAGTTAAAGCAGTTTTCAGAAAAAAGTCTCCAAAAATGTATTAATAAAATTTAAAAGAGCATCAGTAAATTGAAAATACAACTGAAAAGACTAAAAAATAAATTAGCAACCCTAAAACATCAGATATAAAAAAAAATCTTGAAAATCAGTCCAGAAATAGAAAAATTTAGAAAACAAAGACTATTGAACTAAGAAACAAAATTAAGTGTTTTTAAAGACTTTCAAAATTGATAAATCATTAGCCTATCTGATCAAAGGAGATCAAAATGAAACTATAAAAATAAAAAAATGAATACAGTAAATTGACAACAGAGAGGAAATAAAAAGAATCATCAGCAATTACCACAGTCAATTATATACCAAGAAAAACTGATCATTAGAAGGAAATTAATGAACATCTCATAAAAAAATACAACTTCCAAACAACATAATAGAGACCTTAAACTATCCAATCTTGGAAAAAGAAATCAAATAAAACATAAACAAACTTCCAAAGGAAACAAGCTTGGAATGCATAGATTTGTAAGTGAATCATATAAAACATTTAAAGAACAGTTAATGCCTATGTTATAAAAACTGTTTACCAAAACACAGAAAGTACTCTACATAAACTCTTTTTATGAAACAAATAGGCATTTGATGGTCAAAGAAGATAGAGGACAATGATCCAGTTTCAGTAATGAATAGTGCTATAAAATATTTAAATTCTTACAAGAAAATTAAAGAAATATATTCAAAAAACAATACACAATGACAAAGTTATAGCCTTACCAGAGGTATAGAGATAGCTCAACATTAGGAAAATCATTGGCAAAAGATCAATCATATAAATGACAAAGACTGCAAAAAAAAATCATACTTTTATTTTTTTCACAATAGGAGCAGTGATCTACGACAAAATACACCACTCATTTACGTTAAGCAAAAATAAACCAAAAAAAAAAATCTCTAACAGTTTAAACATGAAAGGCTCTTGCTTGAATATGATTATTCTAAAGCATATATCTACAACTAAAAATTATCACTTTCTGCAATGAAGAGACACCAAAAACTTTCCCAGTACCAGCACAAAGAGGGAACATGACTGTGTCGTGATATCTGACTCACCAAACCTGCTTCTCCAAAGGCTGCCAACAAGGAAAAGAAATTCTTGTTTCTCTGCACTAACTGAGCATGAAACTATGTGTTTGTATATTTGTGTGCATATTCATGGAAAGACTGATACTGTAAATTCAGTACTGGCCCTTTAAAACTAGCTAGAATTTCTAATCAACTGAATGGTCCATCAATATATAGAATGGAATCTAAGATCAACCAGCAATACTTTGGGATGCTGGCAGTTGGAAGGGTAAGTTGAATCTCAGAAAAATATCTAGAGGAAACAAATTGAAGAAGCCTGCCTGAAGGTATATGAGAACAAAGACAGAAATGAAAGTATAAACAAGGGGAAGAAGGGAAGGAATTTTTTCAGGAGAATAAATTAAGGATGTAACAAACACCACTAGGTATTTAGAAGGTGAAATAGATAAAAAAGAAGTCACTTCAGGAATTACAATGATGGTGACCAGTAACAAAAGGTAGAGTCTGAGTTATTCTATCATTCCATAACAAGAATTTAGTAATAAACTTAATTTTAATGTGCGGGACCAAAGAAAAAAAATCAGAGGGTCCACTATCATCAACAAAGATAGGTCTACTGAAAGCATCTGTACTTGCAAAGGTGGGTATTCCCTCTCTTTATGATATAGTCTACAGCTCACATAATTCCTCAATGAAATACCAAAGTCTCAAGAGAGAATTTTGCAAGATGACTAGGAAGGATGACTAGATATGAAAAATGTCAAGTTAACATTGCTCGACTATAGCCAAGTCTGCTCCCTTTGGATTCTTTTAGTAATTATTCCCTTCAACTTATTCCTGAACTCCTATGTAGAGTAGCGGATTGTGACAGTTTATCAAACTATTACTCTTACTAGCTTATATCAGCTGTCTACTATGTGCCAGGCACTATGGTAAGCACTTAGGATACAAAGAAAGGCAAAAAGAAACAGTACCCATTCTCAAGGAGATCACAGGTTAATGGGGGAAACAACCTACAAAAAAACTATGAACAAAAAAGATATATGCAGGATAAATTGAGAGTAATCACAGAGGGAAGGCATGAAGATTGAAGAGGACTGGGCAAGGCTTTGCACAGAAGTCCCATTGTCTATTTTAGTGTCCTCTCATTTATCAAGTAATCAATTGTCATTATAGTTGAAATTCTTACTGTGTAACAATCTTGATAAAACATCTGGAGTTCTGTGGTTCCTTATTTTTTGTCACACAGGGACAAACCTGAGTCCCTAACTGAGAACCTAACCTGACAAGATGAATGTTCAAAGGAGAAAAAACTCACAGACACATAACGAACGCCACTGGGACCATGGGACCCACCGTGGATCCCAACATGTCCCCCAGGGGACTCTAGGTAGCTCAAAACAACTTTCTCACCACCACCATCAAAAGCATGGGGGACGGCATGATCAGCACATAATGATTCCGCAAGCTCCACGAAAAAATTACCTTCATTTTCTGGAAGAGAAACGAAGATTACAGTTCAAGAAATTCCTCCTCCACAGAATGTTTCTTGTGGCCAAGATATCAGCAAATGCAGATAAGAAAAAAATTACTGAGTACTTTGAGCAACTATATCAACATATATTCAAGTGTCACGTGGGAGAAAACGTGACTGGGATCATCCTTATCTATCCTACGACCACTCTCCTTGTCATTGAGAGCTCCACTGGGACTCTTTACCGACTTCTTCAAGACTACGTTTCTCATGAAGAAGATGAACCTGGTTTTTTGCTCCAAGATCTTAAAATTTTAGTTGTGTCTCATAACATTCCGACAAGACTCTTCATGCAGTGGTACACCTCTATGATCACTGTGCCAGTCATGTATCTGGAAGATATCACACAATCACAATCTAAAGATGAGGTGGTTTCTGAATGCCTCACCCTGGCACTCAAGCTGGGTGTGTATCTCTTAAGGAATGTTAAGGTGGGCACCAAAGGACCAGGAGATACCCTGTACAACCTTGTGCCTGAACTTATCCCCTCTGAAGAAATAATAAAGTATCTGTGCAGAGCTGAAGGCTTTCTCACACCTGCAGAGTTTTTAAGACTGTATAACAAGCCTATTCATGTAACATTGGATGCAGAAGTTGTGTGGCCTGCCCCCACACTGCTATAGGACAAAGAAGGATTTCTTTTAGATTGTTTTAGTTCTCTTCAAGAATTGTCATGTTGACATAGAATACAACAACATAACTAGGGCGTGTTTAATTACTTGAAATAGAATAATGATTATAACATAGTCATGTGCCCGCTGATGTGGATAAATAAATCCATATAACATAGCAAATTATATTTATTTCCTTTTTACTACCTGCATAACTCCCACGAACATTTTTGCAAAGCATGTTAAGATAGCAATTTTTTCCCACTTTTTCATAAACACAGACTTAGGCAATAAAAATAAGAGTTAGAGGATTGTTGTTCATTTGTTTCTGACTCTTCATGACCCCATTTGGGGTTTTCCTGGCAAAGATACTAGAACAGTTTGCCATTTCCTTCTCCAGCTCCTTTTACAGATGAAGAAACTGAGGCCAACAGGGTTAAATGACTTGCTCAGGATGACACAGTTAGTAAGCATCTGAGGCTAGATTTGACTCACAAAGATGAATCTTCCTGACTCCAGGCTCAGCACTCTATCCCTTGTACCACCTAGTTGCTCAAGAATGAGATTATGTCAGACTTAATGTTGAGTGAGGTTAGTGAGGAATTGCACTCATCCATTATAAGTGGAATTGTAAACTTTTGGAATTCTTTGGAAAGGCAACCTGATAGTAAAGAGTAAAAGTTATAAAGGAATCATCATGCACAATGACCCAATAATTTATTTATTAGGAACAGGCTCTGAAAGTGTTATAAAAATAGTTATGTATACAGTGGTTTTTAATAGTCTCGATTTACATAACTCACCAAAAAATTATCAACAGCCTACATGTCCAATAAAGGTAACTGTTGAGTCATTCATGACATGGAAATGTAATGGGACATTCTAAACCAAGGGTTCTTAATCTAGCATCCACAGAGCCACAGGGGTCCACAGATAGAGATTAATAGGTCTGTGATTCTGGATGACCAAAAAAAGAATTACCTCTTTATTTCAACATAATTTATTTCCTTTGTGATCTTACATATTTTATTTTATGAATTTTTAAATATTCTGAGAAAGGAATCTTAGGCTTTGCCAGATTGCAAAGGGGATCCATAACACAAAAAGGATAAGAATCCCTCTTCCAAACCAGTTAAAACCAATAAATGTGATTAATACAAATAGAAAGGTTGATGAAATAATGTAATTTTTTTAAAAAGCAAAGACACAAGAGAGATATATACACTAACTTGAGGGCAGGAGCTGTCTTTTGTCTCCTTTTGCATACCCAGCTTCACACAGCGCGTAGCACATAGTAGGAACTTAATAAATATTTTTTTAAATTATTGATTAACTAAAGAATAATGACAAATGAATGAACAAAGGAATATTCCTCAGGAGGACTCAGAATGAGTAGCAGAAAAAAACTGCTACAACGCTTATTGAAATTAATTGAATTGTCAACAACCAAGCTACTAAATTAGTATTACTGATGTTAAATGTTGACATAATATGTAAAAAATAAAACTATGACTCTGTAACTCAACAGTGGCACAGCTGATCTAGGACTTTTTAGCTTTCAAAATCTAAATATTCTTTTGGTGATGCCAATAATCTGAGAATCATGGAATAGCGCAGCTTCTGAAGAATTAAAGATGTAGAAACCAGGAGAACAATTTATACAGTGAATTTTTTTAATTTTTAAATTAATTTTTAGTTTTCAATATTCACTTCCACAAGATTTTGAGTTCCAATTTTTCTCCCCTCCTGCCACCCCAAGATGAGATGCATTCTGCATACCCCTTTCCCCAATCTGCCCTCCCTTCTATCACCCCCACCCTTCTCTTATCTCCTTCCCTTCCTATTTTCCTGTAGAGCAGGATAAATTTCTATACCCCATTTCCTGTATATCTTATTTCCCAGTTGCATGCAAAAACAGCTTTTAACATTCATTTTTAAAACTTTGAGTTCCAAATTCTCTCCCTTCCTCCCTCTTTACTCACCCTTATTGAGGGGGCAAGCAATTTTATATCAGTTATATATGTGTAGTCAGGCAAAACACTTCCATAATAGTCATGTCGTGAAAGACTTATATTTCCCTCCATCCTATCCTGCCCCCTGTTTATTCTACTCTCTCCTTTTACCCTGTCCCTCCTTCAAGAATCTTTGCTTCTGATTACCCCCTCCCCCAATCTGCCCTCCCTATCATCCCCCCCCGCCTTATCCCCTTCCTCCCTATTTTCCTGTAGGGTAAGATAGATTTCCATACCCAATTGAGTGTGTATGCTATTCCCTCCTTCCTATGTTATTCCCTCCAAATCCAATGAGAGTAACATTCACTTATTCCCTCTCACCTCCCCCCTCTTCCCCTCCACTGTAAAAGCTTCTTCTTGCCTTTTTTATGTGATATACTTTATGCAATTCTATCTCCCTTAATTTTGCTTTTTAGATATCATCCCTTCATATTCAACTCACCCTGTGCCCTTTATAAACAAACATACACATATGTATGTAAATATGTATATTTGTATGTGTGTGTATATATATGTGTGTATACACACACACACACACACACACACACACACACAGCCTCCAACTACCCTAATACTGAGAAAGGTCTCATGAGTTACAAATATTATCTTTCCATGTAGGAATGTAAACAGTTCAACTTTAACAAGTCCCTTATGGTTTCCTCTTTCCTGTTTACCTTTTCATGCTTCTCTTGAGTCTTGTATTTAAAGTCAAATTTTCTATTCAGCTCTGGTCTTTTCATCAAGAATGCTTGAAAGTCCTCTATTTCATTGAATATCCATTTTTACCCCTGAAGGATTATACTCAGTTTTGCTGGGTAGGTGATTCTTGGTTGTAATCCTAGCTACTTTGACCTAGGCTAGGATGTGATAATATTTATAAAATCTTTAATAAAGTGTCCGGCATATAGTAGGTGCTATGCAAATGCTAACTTATTATTACTAATCTCAAAATACCTTGATATCGTCTCCCACTCTCTTCTTCACTCTTTTCTCCTTTTCCCCATTCTCTGAGAAAGAGCTACCTTCTCATCCTTGTCCTTCTTGTCAAAGTCAATTGTTCTACACGTGGATATGATTCCATTCCTCCCATCTTCTCCAACAGATTGTATCTCTAAGCATTCCTTGTCTCTCAAATCTTCATCCTTTCTCTATCAATTAGTTTCTACCTTACTACTTTCAAACAGTTTTCCCTCTCCTTAAAAAAAACCTCATGGGAATATGTTTTGTAAGACTGCACAGGTACCGTCTTCTATTTCTTCTCTCTCTCAGTCAAACCACTTGAAACATGTCCACACTCACTGCCTGCACATTTTCTCCTCTTACTCCTTTCTTAACCCTTTGAAACCTAGTTTCGGAGTAATTGCTCAACTGAAACTATTCTCCCCAAAGCTTCTCCCCAAAGCTAGCAGTGATCTCTTAAATTATAAATTTTGACAGTCTTTTCTCAGTCCTAATCCTTTTCAACCTTTCTGCTGCATCTAACACTACTGACCATCCTCTCCACCTAGATACTCTTTTCTCTCTAGTTTTTTATAGCACTGTTTCAAGATTCATCTCCTACCTATAAAACTGCTCCTCGGTCTCCCTCGTTGGTTCATCATCCACATCATATCCCTAATTGTGGGTGTTCCTTATGGTCCTAAGGACTATATTCTTTTTCTCATCTCCTCCTATACTCTATCTTGGTAACCTCATCATATCTCATTGGATTACTTATCATCTCTATGTAGATAACTCCCCAGCCTTTATGTCCAACCCCAGGAGTCTCTGTTGTGCTTCAGCTCTGCATCATCAATTGCCTATTGGACATTTTAAACTGGATGTTCGGGAGACATCTTAATTCAACATTCAAAAATTGAGTTCATTGTCTTTCTCCCAAATCCTCTCCTCTTACACACATCCTTATTTCTATAGAAAATACCACCATCCTAGGCAAATAATCTTGGCATTATCTTGGACTCCTCTCTATGTCCCTCACCCCACACAGCCAGTCACAGTTGCCAAACCTTGCTATTTTTAACTTTATAACACATCTTTTCAATCTCCTCTCCGAAGATACAAATACCACATTAGTTCTGGCTCTCATCATTCTCACCTAGAGTACTGCAACAGTCAACTAATTGTCCTCCCTTTCTTAGGTTTCATCATTCTGGTCCATCCTACACACTGTTGCCGAAGTAATTTTTCTTAAGCACAGATCCGATCATATGACTCTCCTACTCAACCAAATCAAGTAACTTCCTTTTGCTTCTAGAAAACAATATAAACTGCTCTATTTAGCTTTTAAAATGACACAACCTGACCCCAACCTATTTTTCTAACCTCACTGGATATTGCTTTCCCTTTCTGAACTCTATTATCCAGCCAAACAGGCCTTTTCTCTGTACCTTATAGAAGAAATTCCATCTCTCATCTCCATGTCTTTGCACTGACCATCCATCATGCCTATTACATACTCCCTCTTTCCCTCCGCCTCATAGTCTCTCTCTTCCTTAAGATGCGGCTGAAGTACCATACTCTACCATGCTCTACATGGAGCCTTTCCTTATCCATCCAACTACTCATGCCTTCCTTCCCAGCCTACCTTGTATTGTACTACTTTGCATTTATTTATCCAATTGTGTGTGTATTATATATGTAAATATATATATATGTCTATACACTAGATATATTTTATATGTATTTTTGTTTCCCTTATTAGAATGTAAGCTCATTATTAATATGTATTGTATCATCCTTTGTACTGGTATCTCCAGCACCTAGCATACTACTTGACACATAGTAAGCTTTTAATAAACACTAATTGATTGATTTATTACACAGAGAAGATGCTTAATAAAATAGTTGACTGTTTAGCAGTCATGATGATAACATGAAAAAAACAACAGCCACCGATAGCTAAGAACAGATTTACCGGTAAGATAATAATAGAACAATTTCTCTGACAGTGGGATTCTATTGTGAAAAGCCTATTTAAAGTAGATGTGAGATGCTCTAGGG